AATCAATATAGATGACGAACAACGAAAGGAAACTGACATACAACTGGAAGCACTAAACCAAAGACTACGGAAAAAACAAATAACTGAAGTAGAGGCAAAAAGGGAGAGAATGACCATTATCAACAGGAGCACTGAAAAATTAGGGGTTTTATTTCTATGTAAGATATTTTTTTTCGAAAGCGCTGAGGTTGACATCAAATTTCTCAATACCCGGGTCATGTCCATGAAAATAAACTCAACCCCAATACCAGTAGATATAATAAATCTTTACGCTCCTCACGCGGGACACTCTGCGCAAACAAAAATATAATTTGGCGCACCAATTAACGCAAGAAATCCCTTCGCACTCTATTAAAATTATTGTGGGGGATTTTAGTGATAGAGGCTTTACCGCATGAAACAGCACTTGATTGGCGCTCATGTATACTGTACGGAAAACAATTCCATTCATGATCTAACTAATGAGCAAATAGACAACCGTCACAATTTCATATTTTTTTTTGTCTTGAAAACCTATGAATACCTAGTTTCAAAAACCGAAACCTAAATTAACCACATATCGCAATGCCACCGCCCCTGTTTTCGACCTTTAACAGATCGAATCAACAAAATTTACGCAAATAGATTATGTACTGAAAAATTCAGCTTGGAGAAACGCAGCAACGAAGATGTTTGGTGTGGGACGTGCTGCTCATGAGCATGGAAACAGATGAATGCCAAAGTGAGATGGACGCCTTCTAGAAGAAGGAGCGCGAAATGGCAATGCACTTGTTCGTGAACAATCCTTCGGATTCTGCATTCATGAGGTATCATCATCCAACGAAAGCGTCCAAGGAACTTTTGAGCCAGATCGTCAGTTGTAGCGTGTAGGCAAATGCAGGTCGTCTACTGAGCGGCCGAGGCAGCAGCAAAGGTGGCACCGAATACTTGCCAGTGACATGCAAATTATATAAATAAATTGCTGAATCAGAATGGTGAGCTGAAACTGCATTTTTGAACTGAGACGGGAGACCTTCGTATAGGAATTCAGCATGCAAGGTACGTGGACCTGCAGCGCAGGCGTACTGAGAGTGCGTCGTCTCCCCAAAAAAAAACAAAAAAACTCAGTGATGTCTTGGGACAAGCTCCGTCCGCCCCAGCGGTGTCCCGCCTTGCACCCTGAAGGGGTCCCGTGGCTTGGATTTATGCCCACTGCAGCTTGCGAAGTTTCCCCTAAATGCCCCTAAGCACCCTTGGAGGCGGGCCAGCATAAAAACTGCCCAAAGAAGCCAAGGAGTGCCTGAACCTTCGCTGCCGAAAAAGGTGCGGGGAAAAAAAAAGTACACCACACCATAATTAACTCAGATCACGCATTGCTAATTGCAGCATTAAAAGTTAAGCTGGCGACCAAAAAAAAATTAAAATACCAACCAATATTAAATATAGAGAGCCGACATCAGCGCAAATCGAAGCATATAATGAATCCTTTTTATGCAAATAATTGAAAAACAGAAGCTCGACGGATCCTGGCACACACAAGACAAGGGAAATATCATCGCTCGCAGTCACACAAACCGCCAAGCAACATCTCACAAAGTTCCCATAATTCAAAAGAAAAATTATCTATCAGACCGTACTTGGCAACTAATTCTTCAAAAAGAAAAGGCGATTGAAGATTGCAGTTTTTATCTGTTACCTCAACTAAATAAAGGCATAAAACGATATGCGACACAAAACAGAGAAACGGCAACAATAAGACAGCTGGAAGAAGCAGATGCACAAGGTTATAAATGGGAAGGATCAAAGGCAGCGTGTAAAACGTTTCAACCTCGACGTACTAAATTCAAAAACAAATATGGACAAATAATCAAAGAATCCGATTTTGCTGACGAAGCTGCCACGCATCTGGAAACAGTACAATGGGCACCGCCCGCAGATGATGACCTTAACCTATCGTACGAAGACCAATATATTTGTTTTGAAGAGACATGTATGACGGATGAAAATTTTACTAAGGCAGAATTAGACTATGTCCTTGAAACGCAAAAACACGGCAAAACAACTGAGTCAGATAATTGCCCAGCCGAATTCTTTCAATGGTTCAACCACAGAAACAGACATATTCTGCTTGAATGTTTTAATGACATTTTAGACATGGACATATTTTAAAATTGCAAACATTGTCTCGATTTACAAAAGGGAAATGCAACACAGATGAAAAATTACAGACCTATAGCACTCCTACAAACACTATATTAAATTCTTGCAGGACTTATCAAAAACCGCCTTTTACAAACATATGATCCATGGATACAAAGAAGTCAATTCGGTTTCAGACCAAAAAAAAATCCACAGCTCAGGCCATTTTTCTTGCCCGACGCCTGATGGACATCTCAGAACGTACAGGGTCAAATCTATCTTTGGTTCTATTGGATTGGAAAATGGTTTTTGATAAAGTAAACCAAACTCAATTTCTACAAACTCTTCGTGGGTTAAAGGTACCGCCCAGGATGCTTAAAACCATTGAGCATATCTATTTTTCTCCTAAATTCAGAGTCGCAACCGGCGGACACAGTTCTAATTATAGAACACAATGTTCAGGAATTAGACAAGGTTGTCCTTTATCACCCTACCTCTTCGTTATCCTAATGTCAACCTTTTTCCATGATATCAAACAAAGACTGACCACACCAAAGCAAAAAAAACAAACATCTAAGTGGTATAGAATATACTGAAATATGGTATGCGGATGACACACTTATCTTTGGGAAATATACTGTATACTCATCATACCAACCTGCTGCTAAAAGAAGTGCAACTAGAATCAAAATATTACAATATGGAATTGAACTTAGACAAATGCGTAAACCTCACACTAAACCAAAAAACAATCATCCATCAAATACTTGGACGGCACACCGGTCCCGAGAAAAAGGTCAGCCTTCTATTTAGGTACATTGCATTACATTGCTCACCGACACCGTGGACAACCACAGAGAGATTATGAACCGGATTGCTGATTGTACCCGTGCATGTAATCAACTCAAATTATTTTGGAACAAAGCGAAGACATCCATCAAATGGAAAGTTCAAGTTTTTCATTCTATCCTCAGAAGTAAGCTGTTATACGGATTAGAAACCATACACTTGAATTTGACAGATCAGAAAAAAATAGATTGTTTTCAGTCGAAGGGATATCGGAGGATCCTACATTTACCCCCTACATATATCGACCGCACAATAACAAATAATTTGTCAAATTTCAAATTAGAAACCACATGAACATGGACCTACGAATGTTCTCCTCCATTTGGCAACAACGCAAACTTTCCCTTCTTGGTCATATTATCAGATCTGCGCCTAGTGACCCTATGAGACAAGTTCCGTTTGAAAAAGGAACTTTAGTTCCAAGATTGGAATTTCGTAAGCGGCCCGGAAAGCCTCGACAACAATGGTTAACAACAACATATGATGATGCTTATCAAACTCGGAACCAACCACACCATACCACACTCATTTGACATAGATAATCCTGCGCATAGACAGCTAGTCAACGACCTAGCTTGCCAGAGAATTGGGGTCTTCTCGTGATCCATCACCGAAAATCGTCACCGAAATCATCACCAAAAATTGTGGCAAATCGTCACCGAAAATCGTCACCGAAAATCATCACCGAAAGCAAAGGGTTTTGTCCCTGCCCTGCCAATATCACAGTTGGTATTGGGTTTACTTTTGTTTCCCCCTTGACATCTCTAAGTTGTTTCGAATTTCATGTGTGTCTCTTACACTAACGTTGTTTTTTTTGTCCAATAGTCAAGTTTCACCCAAGTTCAACGAATCCATGCTCAGAGTTCCTTTCGCCCACAATGTCACAAAACACAGATTCGATGCGTGATGTCCTAATTTCTGGATGTCTTGTGTCACGCACTGCATTTTGTAGTGACACACGCGTGCACAACCTTTTGTAGAACCTACTGCGCCCCCCTCCAGATAAGCCCCAAAAAGTTCGAAAAACGTATTTTATTATGTAGAGACTTTAAGAAAGGAAAATGGGACGGATTTGGATTCAAAACCAACCAATTGGAACTGAAGTTGTGCGCTCAGATCGTTTTTGCTGCCCCATAGCTCTGACGATTGCAGTTCAAAACCTCTGCGCCGTGCTTTTGTCAAACCTTTTTTGAAAGGTCAATTCTTGGAATCCGATGGAAATCCCAAGGTTGTATTTACTTGTGCTCGGCAAATACTATGACCTGGGCCCCAGAAAGAGAACCAAAGATTCAGAGTGAAATTTCCAGAAACCATTTAGTGGAGAATCATGATTTTTCACTGCAACCCGTTTTCACTACAAAATGGGCACGCAAAGTCATTTTGTAGTGACCATTAGTGACCGACATTGGCTTTTGATCCACCATAAAAACCCCCAACCCATTTTGTAGCAAGGGGGGTTGGTTCAGATTCAAGCGTCATTTTGTAGTATACAGTATAAGGCTGTGCTTGTAAACGGTTTAGTGGGCACAACTTCTCTGCAGAACGCGCAATGGGATGCATATATAATATATGAATTGTGCTGCCCAGTGTTGGCTACATGCCAAACGTTCCAATGGCTTACCGGCCAGCATTTACAAGTACAGCATCGGAACTTGTCAGGATCCCAAATGCGCTGTTCAAACCACTGCCAATCCCAAACATGGCCAATGTTTTCCGCAATATTTTGTACGATTGTAAGCGCGTTCACTGCGTTCACGTCGTTCTGTGGGACCGGTGCCCACGTCCAGTTTGCATGTGGCAGATATTTTTTGAGAATCCAATCGATACGTCGTTTTTCAACGATTGTTTTCAGCATTGCCGGACCATGCAGGCGCTAAAGGTCTGACGCTAACTAAGCGCAATATGGCGCAATGAAAAAACGGACAATATACTATAAATAAGAAAACGCAGTCTTATGATTGTGTGTCCTTTCGTTTCCCTCAATTTTTTCTTGATGAAAATGCGCGCGGCCCGCCATGGTTTTTTAAGCTCAAGCCGCTGGGCTCCCGCCGGGCCATGGTCGCCAGGCCATGCCGCACCCCAAGGTGACCCGGTTTAGCACCAAACCACGGCAGAAAGAAGGCGAGGGACGAGGGATCGATAGCCATACCAAATTTGGATAGTATACATATATGAATAGATCTGATATAATGATATAATTACCAGTAGTACTGCGCAAGGCGGTGGCGGAAGGTTCCAAAATAGGAAACCTGAAGGAGTGGTTGGTTGCTGTGAATCACGGATGGCACAGCGAACCCACTGATGGACCGAAAGGTGGTTGAAGTTGCGTTTTTTTTTTGAGTGGCTGCAATGTTTGCAGTGGTCTCACCCACATCTGCTGGATGTAGTGTGGTGTAGCGCAGTTGTAATCGTAGTTGTAGTGTAGCGTAGCGGAGTTGTAGTTGTAATGTTGTGTAATTGGTGCAGCGTAGTTGCAGTTGCAGTTGTCGTTGTGGTGTGGTGTAATTATGGTAGTGTCTTGTAGTGTACTGTAGTGTTGTATATAGTGGTATAGTGTAGTGTAATCTAGTGTGGTGTAGTGTGGTCTAGTGTAGTGTAACGTAAGGTAGTGTACTTGTAGTGTGGTGTAGCGTAATTAGTGTAGAACCGTGTAGTGCAACGTAGTGGTAGTTAAAATTGTAGTTGCAGCTGCTGTTGCAATTTGTAGCTGTAGCGTGATGTAATGTAATTAGTGTAGTGTAGTGTAGTGTAGTGTTGTGTGATGTAAAGTAGTTGTAGTTGCATTTGATTGCATTTGCATTTGTAGTCGTAGTGTGCTGCAGTGTAATTAGCGCAGTGTTCTGTCATGCGGTATAGTTGATATTGTTGTTGTAGCTGTGGTGGTGGTAGTAGTAGTAGTAGTAGCAGCAGTAGTAGGAAAATTGAATGCAGAGCTGACGGCCTCGTACCAATGCGTTTTGCAATTTTTTCCAGCCCATGTCTCTGAAGTATTGCGCCTGCCACGATAAAGTGATGCCAGGTCATACAAAGTGCCGCACCTGTCACACAAAGTCATTTTCCCGAAACTGAAGATTTGATGCTCCAAAATGCAACCCCTCTCAGGAAATCAGCGCCCTGACTTCCTAACATGTCTGATGAACATGTCTCTTGTACTGCGCCTGCCACCGAAAAGGCATCTGTCCAGATCCTCTTCAAATGTCCCACGCCTGCCATCGTCTTTGGAAATGCTAGAACACCGACACATTTTTTACGCACTTTTGATAAGGTGCACAATCCCTTGCGCCGGCCACGCAAAACCACATCTGAACGTCCAAAAGTACTCCGAACCTGCCAGTTTTTAACATGTTTGCCTTCGAAATGTGCTTCGCGCCGCGACGGCGTGCTCTTTTTCGACATCAAAACTTCCAAAAGTGTTGGTGTTCTTGGACACGCGCTTCGCGCCACACAGGCGGCCTTTTTTCGACATCTCATCGTCCAAAAGTGGTCCGAACCTGGTGTTGACTTGTAAACGCGCTTCGCGTCATAACGGCGTGCAAATTTTCATCTCTCATCTGGCCACATGGCTCCGCACCCGCCACTTTAGCGTGCCTGGTTTTCGACCCTCCGGAGCCACAATCATTGGAAAAACACGGTGTTTCGCGACTTTGCTACCCTTTCGCGCGCCTGCATCTTCTTTCTTCTGACTTTTTCTCTTCTCTGATCTTCTCTCTTCTGCTCTTCTCTTCTCTGAGTCTTCCCACTTCTGCTTTTCCGTCCGTCCATGTCGGAAGTTTGACTTCTAAATTTCCTTCGATCAAATGGATTTTAGAGAAATGGGGACGTACGCTTTGAACCAACTGCGATCCTTGGGGGCAGTTGGGTTTATCTTGATTTCCACGGTTTTCTCAACGCAACCAGGTTTCAAGTTTTGCTGAAGGGTTGATCGGCAGCCCCAAAGACATTGATGCTTGCAGCTACGCAAACTACAACAATGTAGGCAATGTATATGATGCGCGTTGAAGTGGAGAGTTTCGGCACCGGGGTATCTGGTGCTGCAGAAATTGATGCGGGGGCAAATGAGCAAGCATATGAGGTTTTGAGTGATAATGATTGTTTCCACCGTTCTTGGCCAGGCGGACTTGCTTCATCTTACTGCCATGACGTGGAAATATGGCGCGACGGGCAGTGGCAATCGCTGGGTTCGAGCCAAAGTGCGGAGATCCTGCGGCAGCGAAACGATGGCAATCTGCAATTTGCCATGGCGATGGAGGGTACCACCTACCACTTCAACTTGGAACATTGGTGGCAGATGTTACTGTTACCGCGTGTGCAAACTCCATACTTAGTGGTTTGCAATGGTTTGCAGATGTTTGCAGGTTCATGCAGGCGCAAATATTTGCAAGTGGTTTTTGCTGAACATGTTTTTTTCTAAATGTGTGTTTTGATGATCCGCGTAGCTAGGAAGAACATTCTACAGTAGCGTATGCTAGTTTTTTGTTTTGATTTGTGTTGAAACATTATCTCAACTCTTTCTCTCTCTCTCTTTCCGTTTGAACACGTGCATCGAAAAAATCATGTGACATGTTTCCATTCCTATGTCATGTCATGGCCATGCATTCAAAACTTATGGTGCTTCATTGCCCTTTCATTACAAGCGTGGCTGTGACAATCTCTCCCAAGGACAACATGTCCCGCACCGAGAGCGACACTGGCAGGATGTTAGCGCTGCGATTTTCCCCAGTCGGGCAAATGCAAAGTATTTCGGCCCAAGGCTTTGAGATGATTCGATGCTTGGCCTAAATTTTCACAAGACATGCGGTTGATGAAAAAAAATGATTGGTTAAAATTAAAACATTCATGGGCATATCAACCAGAAATAGTTGCGGTTGGCGGTAGTTAATTTCGTTAAATTGTTTTCTTTCCGCCACCAAAATCAGGACAGTGGCATCAGTGGTGTTCCTATAAACAGGCCATAATTAAGTGTGAAACCAATGGATCCACATACTTCCGGAGACTGAGAAAATGCTCCACTCCCCAAGACAGAAGGGATTGGCATTTGGATCATATACGGAGTGATATTATAGAGTTGGACCCAGCACGGTTCGAGTATGTTCGAATGATGTTACTGTACTTGTGTCAGTTGCGACTGCATAGTACGATGGGTCATCATTTGCAATTTGACATTTTTTCACTAGAGATTCCCTGGCCAAACGAGAGTATCAGATGAAGTATAAGTGAATACAGAATTGGTTTTCAGAGAATCTTTCAAAACCAAATGTGCTCCACACCGCTGGATATTTTGTGTTATTTTGCTTTCGTTTCAATTTTTGTTCCACCTATACCCCAGCTGATTATCCGGCGCCCGTCCGAGGGCAAACTTTTAAACGCGTCGTGGCGACTGATGTGCTGCATGGACGATTTGGGGCGGAACCTTCTGTGACTGAAACCGGGCAGCACCTCAGAATGTTGACTTAGTATTGTAGCTGGCCCATCCAAGCCCGTGATGGTTGAGGGTTCCAGACGGCTGTTAAGTAGCCCGCTATGGTAATGATGTTGTTTTATAGGATGTTTTTATTCGGCGGCATTATCGGGGAAGATTATTATCGGGGATATTTTTCCCTGCCTGCCAGGTGCGGGTTGTTTGATTTTATGTCAGGTGTCCCGCCCGCCTCCCGCCTCCTGCTCCTCCGCCTTCGCCTCCGCCGGACCTCAACTGCAAGCGCTAGATCGCAGTGTTCCCTGCCGGACCCGAACAGCAAACCCGGGATAAGAGTGTTTCTGGCCGGACCTCACATGCAAGCTCGTGATCGCAGTGGTCCCCGCGGGACCCAGACAGCAACCTCAGGATCAAAGCTCTAGATGTCAGTGATGTCAGATAGGATTCCAGATAGAATGCCAGAATAGATGCCAGATAGAATTCCAGAAAGAATGGTGATAAAATGCCTGAATAAATGTCAGATAGAGTGTTAGGTAGAATGTCAGAATGTATGTCAAAAAATATATGCCATCGTATATGTCAGAATGTATATATTGAAAAGTAATTATGAGTTTACCACATGAGATGAATTTTGGATACTGCAACTCCAACCTGACAATTTTCCGAAAAAGTGGGAAAGGGAAACTGAAGTTGGCCCAGCTGGAAGTTAGAAAATAGCAAGCATAAACCGAACCATGTAACTTTCAGATCCCTTTCCAAGATGATATTAATCATGGATTCCTGCATTGCATCATTCACTTTATCAGTTGGATACCCTTTGGTTTAATTTTTTTGTATTTTTTTGTGATTGCTTCAGCTCTCCACTCTTATGATGTACCCAGTGCCGTTGTCTCAAATTTTGGTATCTCTTTGGGATTTCTGGAGATGGAACCACTTGTGGATATAAACCAACTTGGCTATCCATACCCTTTTCCAATATCCCGTTTTATATATTGTACTATGGTTTGGGGTGCTTTGCATACCCACCATGACATGGGTGAGGAGCATCCCACCTTGTCTATCCCTGTTCGAATTTCAACTCCCACCTTCTCTATCCCTGTTCGAATTTCAACTACAGAATGGGAGGCCTTGTGCCCCGTTTCCAGGGCATTTCCGGGCTTAAATTACGATGAAAAAATGGGGATGGGCCAGGCATTTTGTACCCACAGCTTGAGAATTGCATTTATAAGTATTCAACGTTTCGGTAGTTGAAAGACGTTTAATTACTTTACTTCGTGTGATCCCCACCGTGACATTTTTACATTTTCTTACTGGCAAATCTTCTGGCATTCTATCTGACATATCTTCTGGCATTCTATCTGGCAAATCTTCTGGCATTCTATCTGGCATATCTTCTGGCATTCTATCTGACATAATCTTCTGGCATTCTATCTGGCATATCTTCTGGCATATATTCTGACATATCTTCTGGCATTCTATCTGGCATATCTTCTGGCATTTCTTCGGGCATATCTATCTGGCATATCTTCTGGCATATTTTCTGGCATTCTATCTTCTGGCATTCTATCTGGCAAATCTTCTGGCATTCTATCTGGCATATCTTCTGGCATTCTATCTGGCATATCTTCTGGCATATTATCTGGCAAATCTTCTGGGATTCTATCTGGCATATCTTGTGTCATTCTATCTGACATTTTATCTGGCATACCTTCTGGCATTCTATCTGGCATATCTCATAGCATTTTATCTGGCATATCTTCTGGCATTCTATCTGACATTCCATCTGGCATATCTTCTGGCATTCTATCTGGCATATCTCATGAGGTCCGGCAGGGAACACTGGGCGTGGATACTCGCGGTTGAGGTCCGGCAAGGAACACTGGGCGTGGATGGTCGTGGTTGAGGTCCGGCAGGGAACACTGGGCGGGGATGGTCGTGGTTGAGGTCCGGCAGGGAACACTGGGCGTGGATGGTCGTGGTTGAGGTCCGACAGAGAACACTGTGCGTCGAGGGTCGCGGTTGAGCAGGAGGAGGAGGAGAGGAGGAGAGGAGCAGGCAACTGACATAAAATCTAACAACCCTCACCTGGCAGGTGGGGAAAAATCGAAAATCATTTTGTAGCAAGGGAAGTTGCCCTTCGGAAGGCAACATGTGAAAACCCTTTCCAACCATTTCCAATCGTCATTTTGTAGTATTGAAGTGTTCCCTTCAAGTAACCTGATGATAAAAAATATATAAAAAACAATCTTCATTTTGTAGTGGTGGAGTGTCCCCTTCAAGTAACTTGATGATAAAAACAAATTTTCATTTTGTAGTGGTGGATTTTCCCCTTCAAGTAACCTCATGATAAAAACAAAGCTTCATTTTGTAGCAGTATCATGTTGTCATTTTCCGCAATCCTGTGGAGGTTGAGAACCATCATTTTATAATGGCTGAGTTTAGGAACTTTGAGACTTTGGTACAAAATGAGGGTCTCGACCCATAGGTGGAATTCAAACCGGGATCCTTGTCTTAGTTTGCACCAGTATGCGCCAGTTAAAATAGAAACTATTGTTTGCTGGTTGAAGCCGAATTTGCACGAGAGCGGTTTAATCATGCGTGAATTTTGCTTTAGTGTTGTTTATTAACGGTCGTCGTTTGTTGGTTGCAACCCGCATTGAAGCATAGTGAAACATATTTCTGGTTAACGGTCATGTCAGGTTTGAATCATTTGCGTTTGGGGAAAATAGTGCGCATAATGCCTGGCACGGCTTGAAGCCGCACGTTTATTCCGTTTAGTGTTTTAAGTGGTTGAAATCCATGTCACTATTAGCCATTTACGTTGAAATGTTTGTTTTTCCAGAAGTTTTGAATGCTTTGAATCTGTTTATTTGAATTTTCAATGCCTTGAATATCTGACAAAACCATGCCCTGCTGTGATTCCTGAAATTAGAGTCAGGAAGAGTCCCTGCTTTACGATTGGCCTGGTTGCGTGGACGATGAGGAATTGCTCCGCGTCACCGTCGAGGAGGCGGCTGGTTTTTCCAACGCCGCCTTGGTATCCTTGAAGAACTTCGTGGATGTATGGGATTTCATTGGGTTCTATTTTTATTTTTAGAACTATAACATAGTTCGGGTTTATCGCAATTAGTTTTCCAAAAGTCCATGGATGTCAATGAGTTGTGTATAAACAAACTAATGCAGGTAGGAGAATGAGGTGGACATCATTTCACAATCCCAGAGATCTTACGGCTATAGTTGGTCAGGCATATGCCCGATCATTTTTGTAGGTTTGTGGCGCTGTAGCGTTGTTCGAACGCATCTCATTGCAATACGAAAACGCAAACGAAAACATTGACATTTTTCTTGTCTAGTGCCTATGGCCTATGGCTGCCGAACCAATGGAACCAAAGAAACACGCCCAACATCGCCTCATCAATTTGCTAAACAGGCCAAGTGTTTTGATGTTTGCAATAGGGCCACAAGATACCCAACCATACCCATACCTCCAAATAGTCTGCGTGGCTCTTGACAGAGTTGTTTTGTTCCGATCATTTCTCAGTGACGAATTGATGACCTCGTATGTTGAGCTCGCAAAAATTTTTTCATGGTGGCATCTTAGAATATGTTTTATTTTTTCACCACCCCCTCGAGTTTTGGCAAACTGTCCCGGCTGTCCTGTAGGTCTTCCAAGCCATGACATTGACAAATATCAAGCGACTGGGCTGCATGGAACTGTGGGGCTGGACAAATTTTATAGATATTATAGCACGGCGTCGCATGACTTCGCCGAAAAAAAATGGTCAGGATGTGGGTTCATCCTAGATTTTTTTTTTCAAGGTAATGTTCTTGCCGCTTGAAAATCGCATCAATTTTCCAAAAAATGCCAAAAGAGATGATAATATGCCACGGATGCCACGGCAAACGTTGAGGCTGAAAGCAGGAATTCAGACGGAGGTTTCCAATCCATGTGCCAACATGTACCTTGTTTCGTCTTCAACGTATGAAATGGATTTGTTTTTTCGGGTTCGTAGGGCGATGCCGGTGGGGCATGTGTCCATGCCGATGGGCTATGCAGGCGGGTGAATATGGCGGAATGGATCCACTATTGGGTGTTGCGCACGGATGATCGGGCGCCCATGCCCTTGGTGGCTGACATCAACGGACGCCTGCAGCTGCTTCTCCAGTACGACCCAAAGGTAGGGCAGGGGGCGCATGGAGACATCAATGTTGGTATGAATTGGAAACGACTGGATACAACTCAATAAAATTTGGATATAACGGGATATATTTGGGTGAATGATGGCAATGATGGTGATGTTGATGGCGGTGATGATGATGATGATGATGGTGGTGGTGGTGGTGATGATGATGATGGCTATGATGATGATGATGATGATGATGATGATGATGAACCTGAAGGGGGGTCTTGCCTGCTGCTTGCAGTTTGAACTCAGCATGGTAAAGAGCATCCCACAGCACAGCTGGTGGTTGTGGTGTTCCCCCCTACTTAGATGGAACTAGATCAGCAAATATTTTTGAAACCTGCAAGTAAATTCAAATTGGTTTCAAAATGATGTCCATCCTAATTGGATTGGATGATGACCCAGCTTGGCTATATGGCTGACATGCTTCAATTGGTTGAAAACCGTCAGCCAAATCAGTTTATTGTAACTCACTGCGGACCTGGTGGCACGGTGGTGCATTTGGGTATGTTTGGCTTGCGGGTTCCAGTCAATATTACAAGGGCGATAAAATACAGATATGGGCATGAATGCTTTGTCAAATTTCTTATGTTTTTTCTTCTGCAGTTTCGAAACGAAGGGCGCATATGAATTACGTTAATAAGTCAATATGCAATGCATGTGTTTTTGATGTTTGTTCATTGTTTGGTTTCAGCATAAGTGTATATTCATGCGTGTCTTTTTGGGTTTGTTCATTAGTTTCTATCTTGTGTCACTTTAATACACATAATCGCACACATGTTTCTTAGCCGCGCAAAATTTCACAGATCGCTCGCGACTTCAGGTTTATTCGCCTAGACCCTCCGATTAACCAAAAAACCAGGTAAAAGTACCAAACTGCTGAAGTGACATCCCATTTCCTGTGTACTTGGAGGATCTAGTTGTGTGATCATGTCGCTAAACAGATATATAGGTTGGGAACTTGGAAAGCATGGGAAGCACACCATTGAACTATCATCCTGGAAACACGTTTCTATCGTTTTGGTTTTTACTATACACTGTGCATCCCAGGGGGGATTATCACAAGGTCATTGAGATGATGCGTCAGGCCGATTTACATCCCATCCCGCGTTCATACTAATTAAACATTCCCATTCTATGGTTCACAGAATTGGATGATGAGAAGGTTTTAACCGGAACCCCCTATATTTGATGGGCAAAACCATGGTTTGTTAAGATTTCCCCTTAAACTAATCATTGGATGTGGAAATTCCTGACGTTGTACCGTTGTTTCCACCGCAGGTCTTGGAACGGCTGCAGCTGCTCTTCGAGTTGACCGCCGAGCCCACCGGCTGGGTCAACGGTGTGGGATGCCAGTGCCTTGGCGGCGCTTTGTCACATTGAAATTTATCCAAGTCATGGCCATTAATGGTGATTAAATGGGATTTATATGGTGATTAGTGGGAATATCATGGGAATACAATCAATTTTGTAAAAAAACAATCGCGGTAAATTGATTATAATTACTTTACTTCGTGTGATCCCCACCATGACATTTATACATTTTCTTACGGGCAAATCTTCTGGCATTCTATCTGGCATATCTTCTGGCATTCTATCTGGCATTCTATCTGGCATTCTATCTGGCATATCTTCCAGCATTCTATCTGGCAAATCTTCTGGCATTCTATCTGGCATATCTTCTGGCATTCTATCTGACATTCTATCTGGCATATCTTCTGACATTTTTTCCGGCATTCTATCTGGCATATCTTCTGACATTCTATCGGACATATCTTCTGACATTCTATCTGGCATATCTTCTGACATTTTTTCCGGCATTCTATCTGGCATATCTTCTGACATTCTATCTGGCATACCTTCTGACATTCTATCTGAAATATCTTCTGACATTCTTTCTGGCATATCTTCTGGCATTCTATCTGGCAAATCTTCTGGCATTCTCTATGGCATATCTGGCATTCTATCTGACATCTTTTCTCACATTCTTCCCGTTGAGGTCCGGCAGTGCCCACTGCGATCTGGAAGTCGCGGTTGAGGTCCGGCAGTGCCCACTGCGATCTGGAAGTCGCGGTTGAGGTCCGGCAGTGCCCACTGCGATCTGAAAGTCGCGGTTGAGGTCCGGCAGTGCCCACTGCGACCTGGAAGTCGCGGTTGAGGTCCGGCAGTGCCCATTGGGATCTGGAGCTCGCGGTGGAGGTCCAGCAGTGCCCACTGGGATCTGGAGCTCGCGGTGGAGGTCCGGCTGTGCCCACTGGGATCTGGACTGCGAGGAGGAGGCGGCGGGTGAGGAGGCGGAGGTTGAGGCGGAGGCGGAGGAGGCGGAGGCGGAGGAGGAGGAGGAGAACAGCTCTGATAAAATCTAACAACCCTCACCTGGCAGGTGGGGAACGACCTCACTGCGACCGAGCCCTGGAATCATGTTTAATAAGAGGAATTATCCCAAAATTGTTTTTTTTCAGGCTAGTGACATTTTTAATTTAATTTGCCCAGAATTATATACGGTGATTGATAGTGATTATATAATTAACATTGAAATTAATGTGTTTAAACCCAATGCAATAAACCATCCCCAAAACCACCATAGTTAGATGGGTGGCGTCAACCTTTGTGAGTTTCTCACATAGATTTGATTGAGACATGAACCCAACGAAGAACTGTAACAATGTTAACGGCGCATATTCATCATGTCCAACAGCAATGGGGTGCCAACGGTTTCAAATAGGTTTTGTTTTTTTCCAGCTGGTGGTTTCAATTTTTCTGTTTCAACCATACAAACGGGATGATTACTCCCCGTGCAGTGATGTTCCTCATTCAGCTACACCAAAATGGTGGAGCATCAATTCCTTCTGCACATGTTGCCAGATGTGGCAACGAACCTGCTCTACCGCTTTGCCAAAGTTGCATAGACCCTGAGTAGCTGATTTATAGATAAAGGTAGATCTCCAACTCCCTTTTTGGCAGGGTCCATCCTAGTCGGGGGTTGGTACTCCGCATGGCTAAACATTGTGATTTCACAAAGAAGATGTGGGCAACTGAATCGCGACTTCATTGTCCGACTTTTCATCGCGTCAATGGGAATTTTAAGACCCTAAAATGGCGGTACTGTACCATAAAGCCATATTTAATGGGAACATCCCCTAACGTAGCCCTTACATGGATTTTACGCCTGGTAGGTACCTTCAATTTAGGTACCTGAAATGGCCATTGATTTGTGATATTTTTTTGGGGAAACATGAAATGTTTTGTTTTTGACAGTGTTTCAAAAATAAACTCCAAACATAATGCTTCCTGATGCAAGTGAAACTTAGGGAAATTAGCCTTTAAATTTCAAAAATCATCGATTGCTAAGTTGTCTAAGTTGGCTTATAACTAGTGCAAGTGCTTAAAGTGCTACAACTTACTTGTAACTTTCCTAAGCCAAAATCATCCACTCAGTACCCCAATGGATAACTTGTGATTGGCAATTTCCCGAGGAGGAGGGGGCTGGGAGGGGGGATACTAGGGGTTGGCAATTCAAGGATTCATGGGCGGCAGTTTCTTAAGATACGTTGGAGGAAACATGCATCACGTTAAATTACCGTAACGAAGATTGGTTTCAAGGATTTTACCAGGAAATGGTGTGGACTTTTAAAGGCAATAGAAAAGGGTCATTTCCCGGCACGAATGATGAACTGGAACAGAGAAGAGAACAAGTTTCAATTTCTTATATTTTTCATTTTTTTGGGGGGCAGCATGTTTGATTGACAAGTCTAGATCAGCTGCCGTGACTACCGTTGGAGACAAGTACTGCAACTACGCTTTGGAAAAAAACCACAAAACGTTGTTGTTGTTGTTGTTGCTGTTGTTGTTGTTGTTTTTGTTGTTGTTTTTGTTGTTGTTTTTGTTGTTGTTGTTGTTGTTGTTGTTGTTGTTGTTGTTTGTTGTTTGTTGTTTGTTGTTTGTTGTTTGTTGTTTGTTGTTTGTTGGTTGTTGGTTGTTGGTTGTTGGTTGTTGTTTGTTGTTTGTTGTTTGTTGTTTGTTGTTTGTTGTTTGTTGTTGTTGTTGTTGTTGTTGTTGTTGTTGGATGGGCCATGATTCAGACGTCACGATTCCATACTGTTCTTTGTGTTTTCCAAGACTTGTTTGATGATCCAAAAGTTTGCGGTGGATACCTACAATCGGACTGTCATTGGATGCCATCTCAAGCATTACCGGATCAGCAGTTGGTGGAAAATGACATTTTGACCCAACACCCCCCGAGATGCCTAGGCTGTCCATGTCACTGCAGTGCTTACTTCAGGCTTGGAACAGAAGGAAACTGGACGTTATACCGCGCCCTCCTCTTGGATTTCTTGGGCAATTCAACAAAGTTTGCCAGGAATTCCCCCATTGATACATATACACACACACATATATATATGTATGTAAATATACACATATATATTGTTATATATATATATTGTTTTTTGATAATATATGTAGATGTTAACTTCGATTTTAGCAACACCTACAAAAGTAGAAAATTGAAACCACACTAAACCGCTCACAAATTGCAAGTTGTTTTTCTGTCTTGTGCTGGGCTTACTATACATCGATGATTTTCTGGTTGAACATTGGACACTGGGTTTCCGTTGACCGTTGACAGGTGATTAAAAATTAGAGGTACTGTATGTGACCCGGCCTCGCAAGATGATTCGAGAGGGAAAGAGCCGCACAAGAGGACGAAATATTGAAAGACAATGTAGTTGGCATTGTTTATTGACATATTTTCTTCATGACCAGTTTTTTGAAAGAAATCAGTGAACTCCTTCCAGTGTGGTCGGGGGCGGTGTCTCGCTTGTGACTTTAGTTGTTGCTCGCTTGTGACTGTCGATGCTGCTCGCTTGCAACTATAACCGTCTCGATCCATCACAATCAGTATGATCATCAACATCATCATCCTCACTATGTTCACGATCATCTTCCTGTTCACCATGATCACCACCACCATCATTTGCAACAGTTTACATACCATCGCAATATATTGCAATCATGATCGCCATCATCATCATCATCACCATCATCTCCATCATCATCAATCATCATAACTGTCATCGTCATCGTCATCACCATCATCATCATCATCATCGTCGTCGTCGTCGTCGTCGTCGTTGTCATCGTCATCGCCATCGCCATCACCATCACCATCATCAGCCATCAGCCATCAGCCATCAGCAATCAGCAATCATCAATCATCAATCATCAGTCATCGAAAACGACAACAACAACAACACCAGCAGCAGCAGCAGCAGCAGAAGCAGCAGAAGCAGCAGAAGCAGCAGAAGCAGCAGCAGCAGAAGCAGCAGAAGCAGCAGAAGCAGCAGACGCAGCAGAAGCAGCAGAAGCAACAGAAGCAGCAGAAGCAGCAGCAGACGCAGCAGAAGCAGCAGAAGCAGCAGAAGCAGCAGCAGCAGCAGAAGCAGCAGAAGCAGCAGAAGCAGCAGAAGCAGCAGAAGCAGGAGCAGCAGCAGAAGCAGCAAAATCATCAAAATCATCAAAGCAATCGGGGCCATCATCATGAGCAGCAGCGTCATCAATGCCATCATGCAGGAGCACTTTCATTGTTGTCATCCTCACCGTCACCTGCATTACCGTTGTCATTACTGGCACTGTTAACTTTATATAATTTGTTCTTTTCTTCTTCTTGTTCAACATGTCGTGGATGTCTCACTTTCTTATTTGGCATTATTATCCTTATCAGAATGTTTGCCACTGTTTTTTTTGAAACTTATCATCCTGATCATCACTTTTCTGAGCATCATCGTGACCATGATGATCTCCTAGGTCATTATCACCACCAACATCATCATTGTAATCATCGGTAGCGCTGTCATCATCACGCTTTTGACGATGTCCTGATCATGCTTGTCGTTGTTTCTATCATAGTCGTCATGATAATCTTGAGCCAACAGACCTTCTAGGTAATGTTACGTGTGTTCCAACATCTTGGTCGGTTCGTCAGGAACTTGATCATCGTAATGGCTTGAATGTCAACAATGTTCTTTGAAAGATCACTAAGCATCAGTGCATCATTACTTCCACCATCGTCACCAACATTACCATAATTATCATCATCATCGTCGCCATCACCTGCGGCAGCATGTAGACGTGATCACCACCATCAGCTTCATCATCATCATCATCATCATCATCATGATCACCATCATCAGCATGATTATCATCATTATCTCCAACAACACCATGGTTGTAATCATAATTAACTCCTTTACTTGTCGTTCTGATCATTTCTTATACCGTCGACCCTTTGCAACATCATGAGGATTACCAGTGTGGTTTAGAAAGGTACTGAATAAAATCTGCCAGGTGTGCCATTCACTGCTGGCGTGTCCCAACTTCGTGCTGGAGCAGGAGCTTGCCCGGGAAGTCCTTGCGCGGCATCGAGGCAGCTCCGGCTGGTCTTTGACCGGGTTTTTTTTCAACCGCAACAACCGCAAAATGAGGTTATATGACTTGCAAAAGCAATGGATTAAATATCCAAGAGATTAACCAAGCCCGACGAATCCTCACGGATTCAAATACTTCCTACAAAGGTATGGACCCTCAGAAGGTACATGGACCCATAGATCCCAAATGCCGGAAACTGTTCAGATTATGAATTATGAGACCTTCCCCACTTATGTACGGACACTAGAAGATACAAGGCATACTGTATGTATACAAGCGAGCATATTTAAGCACTTCTGAGATATTTAGTTTTGTGTGAAGCTATGTTTCATTCATATATTGATGGGTTGTCACATTCGGCTGGTTGCACCCATGATTTCCCAGCCTCCGGCAGCATCTCCAGCTAGGTCAAGACGTGGAGGACGGTGAGACGTTGCTCTACCATGACTTCTTGAACGTCATGCTGGGGCGACAGCGTCGGAAAGTCTACATATGGAGCCTCGGTGTCAGCATGTTCCTCCGCATGCTCTTCCGAAAATGTGGAAGTTACAGGGAGCAGCAGGTGCGCTGCATGGGGTAAACATTATTCGGGGGTTTTTGGCCGCGCAAGAGATTGAAAGGTACGACATGCGATTGAACCCCCATAGGCACCATTTGAAATTGCCCCGAAATTTGCCATTCAGTGCGTTCGCCCATCCCTCGAAATCGCCGCTGAGGATGTATGACATCAGCAATGGCAAGGCGAATGGCTGGTCATGGATCTTGGGAACCCACTTCCCAGCTTTCTGGCACACTGCTGTGGTGGTGGACCTCCCTGCGCCACGGATGAATACGATGGGAACGTCCAAAAAAATTGGGAGGCTTAGTAAGTGGAACGATATATAGGGGCATTGAATCAAAAGCGGTGGTTATGGAGGTTGATTATTGATTATGTTTGGCTGATGAGTTATGTTGTATGTTTGTACATGTAATGACATGTAATGACAATGTTTAAATAAAAGCAAATATGTGTATATATATATATATACTGAGTACTTCCAAAGACTATTGTTTAAGTAGTCGTTGTTGCAAAAACGTTTTTATTGCGGAAAGGCGGAAAGTTTGTTTTGTCAGAAGAAACGAGGGTCCTGCGTTGGTCCCTTGATTGGGATGGTTTTTAATCCCTTTCCCCCTATCACTAACCACCCCCCCGAATCATAAAAACCAAGGTCTGTGTCCAGTTTTGGAATATTTCAGAAACAATTTCGAAATAAAGCTACTTTTGCTCTCAAGTTATGGGAAGAACACAAAACACAATAAAACACAGTTTAAAAAAATATGCATTTTTCAAAAATGACAACAATGAACTTTAATTGCCTTCCGGAGAACCTCAGGCCTCTACCCTATACATCTATACTCGTTAATGGTGTTTTATGAATGAGTTTGGAATTTGTTGGTATGATTGTTAGCCTTGTCCATTATTTTCCGTGTACGTGTGTGTGTGGGGACCAGGACCCAAGGGACCAAGGGACCAAGGGACCAAGGGACTCATGTCCAACGGTGGAACCATGTTTTTCCTTGTTAACTGCCCCTGTAGCGATTGAATTCCACATCTTTGGGGTTAGACGAGATCAGATCCAACTTTTCACAGTTTTTACTCTACTGTATATTGATTTTACATAGATTTGTTATTGGTTGGTGCAATCTCCCCAAACCACCCGTGGATATCATAGCACCCCTTAAAATGGAAAGCAAATGCTTCTTCAAATTTAGATTTATGTTTCTGTTTTGGATTTTAGTCTTTTTTGGTTTTCTCCAGCATTGGATTTCCCAGGAAGGTTCCCTGGAATTCTGGTACGGCGGGCGGCTCTACATGTCCAAACCTGGGACTACGCCCTTTGGTGCTCCTGTAGAGAAGCGCTTCATGGGTCACTCGATGCGACGTCGCAGGGAGTACCGGAGATTCGGGTCCCCTGGGGCCCTTGAACTTTGTTTGCAATAGATAGATAGGTTATGGTGATCCCAAAAGATATATACCGAAAAGTCTTTCCAGGATGGTAGTTTGACGATATTTACCTCAGATGCAGCTGTTCTATTTAATTATTTGGGGGTTGCAGCTGGAGTGTACGAAGTTTTTGGTTTTACATTAGTGCTATCAGGTTATCGCAATTTATTTTTGCTAAACCTTGGTGTGATTTTTTCACCGACAATTTTGTTGGGGAATATGGTCTAACCATGTCTAACCCCATCCGCGAATTTAGTGTGTACTCATAGTCTTCCCATTTTTTTAAAAAAATTGTCATCTTGGGGTACATGCCCTTGGTGTCTACACGGCGCCTCCCAGGTCACAGCTATAGGAGTCAGGAGGAGATAGAGAACCACATCGGTTACCACTTGGCCCACGAATTTGAGCCCGGCAACTACGATTCGCTGACCCACAATTGCAACCATTTCAGTGCTTCGGCACAACCTGTACCATTGGGAATCTGGATGAATCTGGGAGATAAAGGTGGTACAGGCTAGACTAGGGGAAGTATTTCGGTTTGGTTAAGAGGTGGGTTAGTTTTTCAGTTTCATGAAGTGGGGGAGTGGATTTTGTTGGGGTAAGGGTATCTGAGTCTGGCCATCATGGAAAGTAAATGGACATCCCTAAAAGCCAGGTTTCGAGCCGTTGCAATGTCCTAGGGTTGTAGGGATGGTGCATCTGTTTTCATGTCAAGTTCGCATTTTTGTAACCTCGCAGAAGGTCTAGATTCTAGATCCACGAGAAGGTTTTCACCCCCAAACAATGAGCAGCAAAAGCAAAATTGATTCATGAGATTATGGGATCCCGGGGTCCCTTAGATTTAGTATGAGGATTCACCAATGGCAAAGCATAAGATTCCTATGTATGGGGGAAGATGAGGAAACCATGAAAACCCACTAGGACCCAGGCACTTGCAGCCGTCAGCCATGAGAGAGCCAATCAGTTCATCAGCCATGAGCTACATCACAGAAACCATCTCAGTGATCATGAACTTTTGCGTGACCTACAGGGGCTACCAGATCAGAGCTCTCCAGAGAAGGAGTGCATCACTGAGAAAGACCTCCCCGTTGAGTACCATGAGGCGCTCAACAGAATTTTCCTGCATGAGGCTGGAGTTTGCTCGAAGTTTTGCCATCAATCCGCATGCTATATGTGCGATCACTTCAAATGTACCAGGGATGGGAAAGGAACATAAGAGAACTGGCAGATGCATTGAGGACAAACACAAGTGATCAGAATGATCAGGCAAGCAGCTGTGTGCTGGAAAAAAACAGCAATGAAGTGAATGGGGTAAAGCGAAATAATTAGCAGCACCAGCCAGCGCCAGAACCATCAGGTCAGAAACATCAGAACCAAATTGTTTTCTCACTGTCCAAAAAAATGAATTTCCAGAAGGGTGTTTTTTATATTGCCAACATTTGCTTGGGCTGTAGGTGTTGGTTAACTCGTGGAAGATGAATATTATGAACTTAACATTACGTCTTTTGATGGGGATTTCCACATGTGTTGGTAGCCAACCTTAATTAGCAAGACGGACTCAAAATCAAAATTAAAAATCATTTGAGGATGTCTCACCAAACTATTTTTTAGTTTACATAAGTTTACACCTGACAGAAGATCAAGAACAAGGCTATCCAAGGCTCATGGGTTTGATATCTATTGGTCTCGTTAGATATTTTTCATGATGACTCGCCTCCCCAATATCAGAACAGCAAAACCCGACGTCTGACACGTTGACCACCTGTGACCGGGCCTGCGCTGAGGTGATTCACTATTGAGGTATTTGATTCATCAGCCTTTGCCAGACGAAATCTTGCATCAACCTGAGATGATCATGAGTCTCGTCTTGAGTCAATGGGTCATGCATATTCTATTATTTTGTATAACGCTATGTATATAGTTGTTTTTCATGTTTTTTTTGGCTGGTGCCTACTCTTTGGGAAGTTTTTACTTTCCATTCCTGCAAACGCGCAAGACACTTCATCTATTGGACCGATTGAAACATCACTGGTTCCATCATTGGTTCACGTCAGAATTCCTTGTATATCGTGTTCCCACATGTTCGAGTGTTTTTTTGCTGGATGTACCTTCCGGTAGTCAAACGTGGCAATCGAAAATGACCAATTTATAATATTTATAATAGATTGTTTTCCCATTTAAAGTTTTTGTTAGATTTCCCAGCGGCCCGCCACCTTTAATTATCCAATCATATCCTCATTGAATCCCATTAGATCCCTATTTGTTGATGCTTAATTCCTATGATTTGCCATGACGTTTGATGACCACAGGACATATCCACCCTGAACTGAGGAATTCCACTCCAGTCTTGCAACTGTTGAGGCCATTTCTGAACAGGTGGGAAATGCCATCTTGATCGCTGTGCTGCCGGTTTTTCATGGGCGCGGCGATGTACATATATAATTATAAATAGAGAGAGAGAGAGATACTAATCCTTAAAGGAATAGACAAGTAATCTAGTTTAATTTTAACTGGATTTTACTTTTCTATTTTTTGGGCATTGCTATAGTTCACAGCCAGCAGCATGAGTTTTTGGTGTTTCTCCAAATGGGGTACCCACCAAACCGACCTCAAACAGAAGTATTAAACAGAAGTACCGGCCCGCCAAGTCGGCTTGGCGCTCAACCCAGCCAAGTGCAAGCTCATCACAACATCCCACGACGGCCTGGTTGACCCACACAGCTTCCCTGCAGGGCTTACAATTGACCGGTCCGGAGCTTTTACTTTGCTGGGGGCCGCCATTGGGGGCCATGCTTTTTGCGCGGCCCACACCCAATCCCAACGGGTTGATGCGAGCAAGCCGCTTCTGGAAGCCTTGTGGCACTTGGATGACCCCCAAACCGGGTTGTTGCTGCTGCGGGAATGCGCCAGCTTTTGCAAAGTAGCGTACTCAGCCAGGGTCACGCCCCCAGCCCTCCACACAGCTGCCCTGTCAGCCTTTGATGCCGAAGTGCGGACCTGCCTCGAAGCCCTTTGCACAGGACCGCTCCCTGGCCCGGCCTGGGCGCAGGCCTCGCTGTCAACAAGTGCCGGTGGCCTTGGCCTGCGCCTTGCCAGTCGCCATGCTTCGGCGGGGTTTTTAGCGTCCACCACTGCAACCGAGGAGCTTTGTAAGGAACTTGACCCCCACTACATGTTGTCTGTGAACGAGGTTGTGGATGCTTTCAACAGGGACGTTTTGCCCGGTGATCGCATTCCGTCGCCCGTGCCCAACTCTTTGAGCCAGCAGAAGTTTTCCCGAGCGCTCGACGCTGCTGCAGTTGCAGAACTGAGTGCGCCACGGAGGTCACCCGCGCTCATTTGCAATTATTGCAGCAGCCTGGGGCCGGGGCCTGGTTACACGCCCCGCCTGCAGACAACCTCGGCTTGCATGTTGATCCTGCACTCTTCCGAATCATGGTTTGCCTTCGACTGCGGCTGCCGGTTGCTTCAGAAGATGTGGCCTGCCCACTCTGCGACGCGGTTGCAGACCGCATGGGCGACCACGCCAGGGCTTGCCCTTGCGGTGGGGATCGCACCAAGAGACATCATCGCCTGCGCTCTATCCTGGCCTCCCGAGCTCAAGCTGGTGGGTTGAACCCTGTCGTCGAAAAGGCGGGCTTGCTCCCACCACGATTGGATCTTGCAGGTGCTCCTGCATGAAGATGGTGTGCAAGCCAACGGTGGTGGTGGCAGGCGGCCGGCCGACGTCTGGGTTGGAAACTGGGGGGTGCATGGCCCGGCCGCTTTCGACCTGGCGGTCACCTCTGGCTTGCGACAAGGGGCTGTGGCTGCCTCAGCAGCAACAGGGGCCCGTGCTGCAGAAGATTACGAAGCTCGCAAGCGGGCTCATTTGCAGACGGCGGCTACCTGTGCTAATGAGGGTCTCCAATTCATCCCCTTGGTCGCCGAGGCTGCCAGCGGAGGTTGGGCACCGGTGGCCACGCAAACCTGGCGGCAACTTGCGCACTGCGTGGCCGCGCGCACTGGTGAAGAGGCCGGCGCTGAGCTTGGCAAGCTGCTGCAAACTCTGGCAATCAGCCTTCAGCGTGAAAACGCGCGAGCTGTCCTCCGGCGCGTGGGCGGGTCTGAAGCCCGCCCCGCGACCCTGGCCGATCCTTGACGAAGCTGCATGTGCCTGATCTGGACAGTGTAAATGGTTTGCAGCAGATACATGCAGTTTGCGGCAGCCAGTGGTTTGAGTCGGGCTGAGCGCGGCGTGGTGAGGGCGGTACATTTGGGCTTTCCAGCGAACGCCAGCACCTGGTCCGCCAGTCATTTCTTCTGGTTGTGGCAGTTTCATTTTTGGCCTGCCTTTTTGCTCCGGGTTTCCATAGGTCCCGGGACGTGCGGATTGACTCGCACTGTCACATATATGCTCTTTTGCTTCATTTTCCTCCACCTCCACCACGGAGCTTGGACCTTTTCACCCAGTCGGTTTTCATTGCTTCTGGGTGCAAGTACAATTTTGATAGAGAAACTCATGGTGAATGCTTGGATTTTTGGCCAGACAAATTCATAATGAGTCTACGAAAAGAGCTGCATCTTTGATGACTTGGGACCCTGTTTTCCTGACCATCACCACTAGCCTGTCCTCTTGGGAGGGACTGCATTCTGTCTCTTCCAGCTATACCTTCCATCGCCCAACATTCCTTTCTTTTCACCTACTTCTTCCGAACCGAATAACACAACTGGATGTGCATTCCACTTAGTAACCCCAGGAACCAGAATGTAGGTAAGTATGTTTTGAAACCCATGCAGTGATTCCTGTTCATTGTTGAAATTCGATTTTTGTTGGCTAATGTGTTTGTGTGACATGGCAGTAGAATTCCTTTCCTTGTTGGTTCCAGTAATATCTTATCGTTACCATCAAATTCCGCATTTTTCCCATGAAAGATGAGTTGCGTTTCCATTTAAAGATTGTTGGTGGTTTGGAACATGATTGTTTGTTTTTCCATATATTGGGAATGTCATTATCCCAACTGACGAACCCCATCATTTTTCAGAGTGGTAGGTCAACCACCAACCAGATGATTATTCACCATCATCAACCATATAATAACCATTAATATTATATATTAACAGTATATTACCAACCAATAGGTTGAAACCACCAACCGAATCCTGCTATAAAGATCGAACCATGATTTTGGTGAACACCGCATCTCTCCATCCGCGCCGTGCGGTGGAAACGGTGAAGATTGCAGGTGGCTGGGCCGTGTCGACGCGGCCTCACTGGATGGCACACGAACCACTCAGGCTAAGCAGGCAGGGCGGCAGGGGAAGGTTGGTTTTCCATGTTTTGTCCTGGTGGATGTTGGCATTTGTTTTGGCAAGGGAATTGGGGTTGGATTTCACTGGCAAATGTTGATACATTTCAAGAAATTAACATGGTTCAAAGCATACCCCGAGCTGCAAAGAACTTCTCAAAAGTCTAGTGGCAGACCTGACGTGTTTTTTTTGGACATTGCATCTGGAAATCGTTTCTGGAGTCATCAGCCATCATCGTTTGGGGGCCCAAAAATTGGGAAACCCAACTGTTGTGTCAGGAATCGGTTCCCTTGAGTCCATTAGCTTTGGTCTCCTTCGTGCTCCATGATTGCGGTCTGGAGTCCGTTGGCCACTTCCATTGCAGGGGGAAAATTCCGGCCTCGGGGGCCGGAGGGGATGGCCAGCTGGGAAACCTGAATCATGTGGGAGATGTGGCTGACACAAGTCGTGGGCACCTGGAAATCTGCCAGCTTCCACATTTCTCCTGTTTGTATCAGTTCCATTTGTATTTCCAGGGTCAAACTCATCCTTTTGGAGTCCCAAAACTTGGATAGTCCCAACAAAAACTTGCTAATGTATGTTATGTTATATATATATATATACACATACATATATACATATTATTTCATATATACGTACTGGACATGATCTCCGTGCACCAGGCAGGGTGGAAGCCGTGGAAGGCGATCACTGCGCCGGGGCGCCGAGCCACAACCCGGAGCCGAGCCGGAGATGGCTGGGTTTTGCCATGGATTCCATGGATCAATGGCTGGGTTTAAGGGAAAAATCTACAGGAAACCATAGATTTTCCCATGAAATATGGGGTTTTCCTGTAAATTTACCATCAAATATATGTGGAAACTGGTTGGTTTTTACATGTTTTTACCATCAAATATATGTGGGTTTCCATGGGTGTCCTGTAAATTGTCCCATCCAAGTCTGTGACATAGAGCCAGTCATTTATCCAGCTTTGGTGTCTGAATGTATCTTACGTGTGTCCATGATTTGCTTTGACTGGAGTTGTCTGGGAATGTTCTGGGCGAAGGAATGCTACCTGAAGATCTGAAGGGACTTAGCAATCGGTAGTAAGCGGGTGAATTGTTCTACATTGACTTCACAGTTCCCCCACCCAGACTCGAAATCCATTTTCTTGGTGTGGCTAAACTTTACTCCTTTCTTTTGGACATGCTCTATCCCCATGCTTTAGGTTTGAAGTCCACTTCAGCTGCAATCCCACACTTTGCTGCGTATGGGATGCAGTATAGCTTGCATATATGTATACTGTATACATATACGGGTAATTAATTCACAACTGACTGGCTGGGAATCGCCCCCAAGCAAAATCGGCAAAATCATTCGACTCACAATGTTGCTGCTTCAAGACCACCTGCAAAATCACAGTGAATTCCCGTAACTTTGATAGTTCCATCATCAAATTCTCGTCATTGTTCACCATGTTTGCTGCTTAAATCCAATGTGTTGGTAGGTCAAATGCCTCTTTCCTGACTAGAATTTGGTGAACTTCCTCAGTGAATTTCTGACGCCTTGGCCCAATGGCAGTTCATCGTTCATTCCCAGGTGGTCAGCCGTCTAGATCTCTGGCACCAGCGTGCCGTGGAGCTCACGTTGCGCAAGAGCATGGTGAAGCAGGTGCTGCAGCGGTCCCAGAGGCAGGATGATTTTGGATGGGTTTCTAGGGCTGAGAAAATCACGGGGACAACAAATAACCATCAACGAGTAAGGATTCAATGGGATTTTTTTAGTGGATTCAGATGCAAAAAGGGGAAACTCAACTATGAATGGGATTTTTTTAAACCGGATAACTATGAAACTTGTGGATTTCACCCTCATCGGTAGGGATGTAAGGGATGAATAAAGATCAATATTGGCTGTCCAGTGGCGAATGGAGGGAGTTGTTTCGGAGCTATGGTTGTAACCAACTTTTCCTGTTGAAGGGGGAGCCATGGAGCTACTAAGAGGTTCCCAACCACATGATAGTTTGGGAGTTGTAAGAAACAGGATGGAAGTTCAATTTGTGCCATAAAACTAGTTGGACCACGGCCTTTAGAAGGCCGTGGTGTTTTGTACACATCGGGGGGGTGGGGTGGGGCATGTAATAAGGTTCATGTGAACTTGCGGAGGAAGGACATTCTTGTCTGTGGCTGCCAGTAGGTGCATGTATGCAAGGGTGGGGTGGGGTGGGGTGGGGCATGTAATAACGTTCATGTGATCTTGCGGAGGAAGGACATGCTTCTCTGTAAGTTCTGGAACTTTCCACTCAGCGTCATGCCACGCTATGTAAGTTCTCTGGAACTTTCCACTCATACGTCATGCTACGTTACTGCAAGTTCTCTGGAACTTTCCACTCATGCGTCATGCCACGCTATTGTAAGTTCTCTGGAACTTTCCACTCATACGTCATGCTACGTTACTGTAAGTTCTCTGGAACTTTCCACTCATGCGTCATGCCACGCTATTGTAAGTTCTCTGGAACTTTCCATCTGTTCATGTGGTGCTGGCATTGTACCTTCAACAATCCAGATCCGCAAAGGTTCTTGGAAGAACCCGAAGCGTTGCTGTGACCAACACAGGAATCAAGACATTTCAGGTTGAGAATTCTCACAAATCCAAAAATGGTATTTTCGTCTAGGCGAAATGCTTGTTTTTGAAAATATGCACCAGAATAAGGGGTTAACGGCCTTAAAATCCTTAAAAACCACATCAAAACATGTCAGGTCGAATTAGTTTGGGAATTCTCAAAAACCTCAAAAATGGTAGTTTCGTCTAGGCAAAATGCATGTTTTTGAAAATATGCACCAGAATAAGGGGCTAACGGCCTTAAAAATCACATCAAACAAAATCCTATTGGCACGAGCACATCAAGAATCACCCATGATACACCGTTGATCACAAAAAACCCACGGCCTTCTAAAGGCCGTGCTCCTAGTTGGACTGGAGCTTTCAGAAGGAAGAGGGCGATGGATGTGAAGCATTTTAAAACATGGAAGGCCAACTGATCCCCAAAATGAAGGCTCAACCATGCTCAACCATCAATAAAGTTGTATGTGTCACGATCAATCCAGCGTTTTCAACGGTTTTGATGAATTTTGATAGAACTCTGGATTCAAAAAACTCAAAAAACAGCTCAGAAGAAGATTTTCACTTCATCAACACAAGTTTGTTTTTATCAATCCTAAATTTTAAATGATGGATCCATCATGAATCCCTACAGCATGGATCCATCGTTCAACCCGCCAGGGATCGTTTCCTCGTCCGCCATCGCTCCGCTGATGTTGCGGCTGTGGTCTCTGGATTGCCAGTGGCACATCGCAGCCTGGCATCACTTGGTGCTGGGTGTGCCACGTGGGTCAGACCTAAACCCTCAAAATCTGTTCATGACAGTGGGAAACTCATCTATAAAAAATGGAATATATACATTCATCATATACCATATATCATATTATACTTATTTATATTATATGGTATATGTATATATGATATGAGCTATGAAAAATGAGGAGTTCAGCATTCAGCAGTAAGGATTTGGTGTGATGATGCGTAATGTTTTTTTTTCAAAAAACTGTTCACCCATACTTTATCATGGGCACTTTGAAGGTTCCAAAGCTGTCGAAACCCTGGACCACGATGAACACATGCTGGTTTTGGAGTATTGGTCTAGGGGCATTTGAATTTTCATGCTAGCTCGTTGAGTTTCAATCTCTGGGATGATGGTTAAATCCCTATCTTTGATGCCTAAGTCCCGATTCTTGATGGTTAAGTCATGTTAAGTTCCTATCTTTGATGCTAAAATCCATGCTTTTTTGGTGGCTAAATCATGATTTTTGATACATCAATGGATTAAATCCCTATTTTGAGATAGTAATAATTTTGGATTAAATCAAGTCCCCTTGTTTGATGGTTGACCTCGGTAATTTCCTGTTTTTGATCCAACTGGACCTCCAGTCTACGGCAGCCAGGGCCAGCCTGCTGTTGGTTGCCCGTCCTCCTGCCGGAGATCACGACCAAGCCGTGACTGAGTTTATGGCCGGGAGGGTGCCCTCTGGTAAACTAACATAGCTATTGAACATGGCCATTTATATATAGTTGATTTTCATTAAAAATTAAAAATGGTGATTTTCCATAGTTGTGTTAGTTTACCAGAGGGTAAGTATCTATGGAAAATGATTTTTTTGAGTAATGATGGCAATCATCTATACATGGCTTATTCTGCAGATAGTTTGTTTACTGGAGGGTATGTCCAATTTTCAGAGCCATTTAAGGGATCATTTTATGTGTCAGAAGCGGTTTAAGGGATCATTTTCAGAGGATATCCCAAAGATTTGGTGATAACCATGGGGTCGGATTTTATGATATATAATATATTTATATATATAATATATTTATATATAATATATTTACATATATATATATATATATTATATGTGTGTTAAATAAATTATATATATAATCCATTGAGCACAGCTGCCATCCCAGCTCCTGCGAAATGAATCAAAACCCCTGGTGAAACCTAGCTGAGTTGGTGGAGACGAACTCCTGCAGAAGGGGCATTCATGAAAGTATACTCTAGGCATCTCTAGGCTATTTATATTGAACTATATTGAAGTTATCTAGGGAACATCCCAAACATCAATAGAATAGTCTTGATGGGATGTTCCCCACCCATTTTCGGGGCATGTTTGAGATTTACATACTCATAATCCTGCCTATAAACCAAGTATGTTCAGCTACCAAGCTGATTGCAATTGACAGACATGGGCTCCGCAACCAGCTGCTTCCATGTTGAATGTGGAGTTCTCGCAGCCGCCCAAACATCACTTATTCACGTAAGTTCATTGTCCATACTTACGCAAGGTCGCGTATGTTTCTGCCTTGTTTTAGTACCAAAAAAGGAGACAGGATGGTATGAGTGTTGAAACAAGGATCCCAGATCACCTCAGTTCAGCTTGGTGGGTGGACTTGGCAAGTTTCAGCGGTCTCACTACAACCTCACCATTTAAGATTTAAAACCAACACAAAAAAGCGTTGCGTTGAGGCCTGGACTTGAAACCGATTGACACCATTTACCCCTATCAATTTGCCATTAGCATTACCAAAAAGATTTTATAATCTATCAATTTTGATTTATGGTAGTTATAAGCCCCACTATCTATATGCTCGTTTATTGCCGCATTACGATCATATTAGAATCGAACACACGACCCTCTGAGGAGTGCCTTGAGCTTCCGCAGCGCGGCAGAAGAAGACCCGGTGCACGTGGCCAACTTCTAAGGGGCGGCAGAAGCAAAACGGGTAGGATGGGAATCACAGGAGAGGTACCAACAAAAACGCCCTAGGCCCCATAGGCATAGTTGATTTACCCAGAAATGGTAATGTTCCATAGTTATCTTATCTTACCAGATGGTAAATCATGCAAGTTTTTGATGATTTCTGCTCGGCAGTTATTATGTTTTTGTTTAAATCTCGTGAGTTTTGTTTGATTTAAGAGGGTTAGAAGCCCTCAAGGACATATAGCCTTCCCAATGGATTTCGGAAGATCGCCTTACCATGATTCCCTGCCCTCGTGAAGGCGCAAGCTTTGCGGCCGGGGGTAACAAATCCCCGCTGCCAGCTACTTGGAACCCCACTTCCAACCAGCCTGAAAAACACCCTGCAATATAGTTTCCAAATATTTACCCTCTGGTAATTTAACATAGCCATGGGCAATCACAATTTTAATAGATCGTTTACCTGTAAAATCCTTTAAATGGGCCATCTATACAGCTATGTTAAATTACCAGAGGGTAAATGTCAGCCAGATTCTTCCTAAATTGGGTTTCCAGCTTAGCTTTCAAGTCAATGCAGGGAGCTGGCTGCACTGAAGGCGCGGCCGTGGCCATCGCCTGTGCTGTGCGACCTGGAAAATGATGCGACCCACAACCAACGAACACCATGAACCAACCATGTGTGCAATGATTATGTCCTCATGTTTGACGGTTTACAGCCCGATGTGCATCAACTAAAATAAATGATGATGAAACATTTCCCCATTCAGTGACTACTTGGTGATCCAGTTGGGGCGATGTTTGTGGATATAATTATTGCGATTTTCTCTGTAATTAAGTTGAGATATGGCCAGATACCCACTTCATAGTGGAACTGGCGCCCCCGAGTGCCGCCCGAAGCTAAGCACAGCGTAGGCAATTTCCCACTTCTCCAGCAATAACCAGGAATGGACCAGATAGGATGAAAGGACGACAAATTCGGGTCACGCTTAGGATTGATCGACAGATTTGCATTTGAAGGGAATGATGCTCGAACATGCTGCAATGCAGGTTGAGAGGTGCAGGGCAAAGACATTTAATGCAGTGACTTTTTCTCTGGAATCAAAGTCTGACATTAGATCAGACCTTCTGAATCGAGATTTGTAGAAACATATGTTGGTCAACATTTTTCAAGGAAGCTCAGCCTCTTGCATTTTCGTCTAGGTTTCAATCAACCTTAACCCTGAAATACCATAACATAAGACTGGCTTCGAGTAGCAGCATTTGTGCCATATTCAGGGTGAAGCTATTTCAAAGTATCTTCCCGTAATCAAACATTGCAATGGGAAATCCCCTGTAAATGAGAATTTGAATGGGAAAAACATCTATACATATGAAACATGGCAGATTTTTCATTGCCATGTTTGATTACCAGAGGGTATGTAATGTACATCATTCAGCCCATGAAACCAAGAAATTTCTATACCACCTAATGCACTATTCTTTTCTGATTGACTTCCGCATTTATTACATATAACCAACATTAACCAGCCATATTTTGGGTGGCTCAACCACCAACCAATGGTAGGTAGGTCAACGGTTGAAACCCCCAACAGCAGATGATGATGGCCATGGAGATGGCCAGCGCACCGGTTCGACCGGGGCTTCTCATCCGGCTGAAAGGACAACTGCCAGGTGCCGTCGCTGCAGGTTTCGGGATTATTGACATGCCAGACTAGTAGAAGGTTTTTAGACCCACAGATGTGGGTTTATAAAATTTCATAAACCCATCTAACCCCTCTATTAGGAAAAATATAGCTATTAAATGCTATTAATATATAGCTATATTAATAGTTATCAGTTATATCACCCAAATCCCAGCAGTTCACCAAGGAATTCCACCAGTTGCGGTTGCGGGTATGGGGGCCGGCGCATCGCGCACCGCCTCAACGCAGGTGCGAGAGAGACCAGGCTGACCAGGCCTAGGCGGACAGGCAGCTTCCATACGTGAACCTGGGTAAATTATAACGACCTCACTGTTCTCCCTCACTATAATCATGATTAGTAAGGGGAAACACCCCCCAAGATAGCCTTATTTCAGGTTAGTGAGTTATTGTAATTTACCCAGGTGGATGGTTGATGATGGTTGATGGTGAACCCCATTCAAAAAGGACTCTCATGGAGATTGCAGAAGTAGAAAGATGCAAAGATTGCAGAATGTTCCCCGCAGAACCAGACGTTGGCCCATGCTCACATAATCTCCCATTTCTTCCACGGTTTTAACAGTTCTCTCATCCAAATCCACAGGGATTTATAGGGATTTCCCTCCATTTTTCCATCACATTTACCATTGGTTCCATAATGTCGCATTTTTCCCACGATGTGCATACCCTATATTGAATCAAAATATGAGATATTATTATGTTACATTTTCTTCCGTCATATTACATCATTACAGAAAGATTTACATCTGCAACCCCCTCAAGCAATACGTATAAAGATCTTACAATGGTTATATTACGTGTTTTTTACTTCCATCATATTGCATCATTCCAGAAGGATCTAAATCTGCCACCCCGTCCAAACAATACGTATAAAGGTCTTCTAATGGTTATATTGTATTCTACCTTATCGAAAATACAAGTGGTAAGGGCCGCTTTCTGCAAGAAAACCTAGGACCCGGGAGAACCATAAATTTACGTCAAGAACCATTCCACTACTTCGTGGGGGTCTGTTGAAAACTTGGGTCATTTTACCCGAAAAAACAGGCTCCGATGATCCTATATTGAAATAAGCATTGCCGTTGGCAGAAAAAGACATGGTCAATTTCCAGGATGGGTTACAAACATTTACAAACCCAACTCCTAGTTTCTTCTGTGATTCCAGTATCCGGAGCTCGCCATGTCATCGGGTACCGAAGAGACACGAAAAGAATCAAGATAGGATGAACTACTCCGCAAAATCTCCGCAAACTCTGCGGACCAGCATGTTTACTCCATCTGAACTCTACCCGAGCTTGGTAAAGTTTTAAAGGGCCCCATGTTCATCCCATGTTGGTCCAAAAATAGGGGATGTGGACACAGCCTGTCCAGGCGTTAAGGTGAAACCCGTCCAGGTTGGTCCGGTCGCCTCACCGGCTTGGCGACTGGCGACCGGTGGCGGCTGGCGTGGCAGTCTTCGTTTCCGCGTCCGAGGACCCAGGAGCAGAGTGGGGCGGGTCTAAGGCGGTTGATGTTGGTTGACATGTTGACATATTTTGAAATTGCAACTGGATTTATAGTTTCATGTGATTTTTGCAGAAAGGCCCAACATGAGAATTGGCGCTTTCAAGACCGTTTCTAAAGTTTTTTGAAGCTTTAAGATTGCTGTCGCTGTGAATTTTCGTTTAAACGCACATTGGGGTGACTGAACCCCAATTGATTGGCATAGGTCCTACTTAGCTGGGGTGGAAAGAAACAGATCAAATTCCAAGCCAAAAATCACGGCCGGCAGCATGTCACCTAGGCGCAGCCGTGGATCTAAAGCTTCCAGACCAGCGCTGAAGGCCCGTTGGGGGGCCAGGGATCGGTTGTCGATCCCCCCCAGCCTGCATGGCAGGGTCCTGAAGAACTGGAAGAAACTGAAGTGGTGTAGGGTTGACCCAGTTGGGATTGCTCGGGCAGTGCCGGGGTTCCTTGGAAAGGTTGGAAAGGTGCCTCCTATAGGGCCATGTAAAGGGTATTTAACTTACGATTTTATACCATTTTTAAGGATATGTAAGGTCAATCACCCAACTCTGATCCATAGCCATCCTGAAAGCCAGATTCGACTTTTGTTCTGGTGTTGGCTCATTTTTTCATGGCTGCCAGTCATCCACCATCAGGGTCAAAACGCATGGTTCCAGAATTGTACCTATGCTATTCCTATTTTATCGCATCTGATATGCCCAAAAACTCCGCTGGTCCAGTCAAGGTATCATGCAGATGAAGAGAGAGAGAGAGAGATATATATATATAGTTATATATATATATATATTTAACTTTATATATATACATGTATTTTATATATACACATTATATTTATTATATATATATATATATATACATATAATATATAATATGGATGCTATTTGATGCTCATCTGCCCAGGTTTCGGGAAGCCTTCCAGGCACAGGCCTCTCGATGTGAGCTGTTGACCCAACAGCTTCAGGTGCCTCAGCTGCTGGGCCTGGAAGCCTGGTTAGTCCAGGATAAAAGTTAACCAGGACTAGCCATTGACAGGACTACCCATATATAAATATAAGATAATATAGGAGGTATAAAAGACTACGTGTAATTACATGTAATTACTACTATTACGATTGCTATTATTACTATTATTATATGGTAAGGAATTACGTTGCAATATTATGCAATATTGGGTACCCATTTTCATTCATTGATAGTATATATTTGAATTAATGTAAGTTATCACACAATTTTAGGGTGCAGTAACCCCCAAATAGTTTCACATCTAATGTGTGGTAGACCGCACATTTCAACACTGCGAGGGATGATGAAGCACTGATAAGCACTGTCTGAGGTTTGAGCTAGCAACGACTACAAGGAAGTAGGACGTATATCTATGGAATATTTTGTTTTCACATGGAAAAAAAATCTATATAATTGTGAGATTATGTCACGGCCCTGAACGTTTTGAAATCAAAGATCGACCTCCAACACAACACTTTCCAAGAACGAAACCCTATTCCCAAGGCCAGTTTTAGCAGTTTGCATGGGGTTCCATGCCCCATGCAATCCAAGTGAATATATGTGGTATGCTAATCCCTTCTTCCTAATACTAAACGCCCCCCCCCCTATTACTAAACACGGCAGGTAGTTTTTAGTATTAGGGGGCTATTTACTATTAGGGAACCCTATTAATAAAATTAAACCCTTAATAATAATACTATAACTATTTTTTCCGATCTCAAAATCAATTAAACTTCTTTATATATCGCGATTGAGATATTGCCAAGAATTGGATTTCGAAGCTTCCCCCTAATATTAAATTAAAAACCTTTATAATAATAACTACTTTTCCGATCTCAAAATCAATTAAATTCTTTATATAACGCGATTAAAATATTGCCAAAAATTGGATTTCGAAGCCTCCCCCTTATATTAAATTAAAACCCTTAATAATAAAAACTATTTTTTCCGATCTTAAAATCAATAAAATTTCTTTATATAACGCAATTAAAATATTGCCAAAAATTGGATTTCGAAGCTTCCCCCCAATACTACATTAAAAACCTTAATATAAAAAACTACAAAAAATTGGACGGACCCTAATAATAAACACCCCGGGGTGAACTAGTTTTTAGTTTAGGGGGGAAAACCCACAAAGGGTAGTTTTTTTTAAAAAAAACTGTTTTCTAAAGGGGAACAATTAAAAGTCAAATTGGCCAATCTGAAATTTTCCAAAATTGGAGATGGACACTAGTTTTTAGTATTTGTGCGGGGTTTAGTAATAGGAGGAAGGGATGATTAATGTGTGGTAAATTTACCCCTGCATTGACCCTAAAATCTGCCAAATGTGGATTTTACTTTACAAGAAAACACATATATTTTATATGGGATATTCCCCCAATCTGATTTGATACTTCAATGCTTAAAATGGTACTTTCCCAGTCAACAACCGTTTGGGGTCTAATCCTGGGCGAAGCAAATAAGTGCAGGAGATGGCGCCAGACGACCAAGGCCGGCGTGAGACACGCGGGGAACTTCAGCGAACATGGCAAACTAATGCGGGATATCATGGGTATATAAAGATTAAAGCATATATAAAGCATAAAACCAACAGTATGATCTTGGGTTTGGCAGATGGTGCGCATTAACTGGCTAATTTTAATGGGAACATGACGATTAAGCGGTGGATTTTCAAGGCAATAACAATTATGTGTTCTAGAAACCATCAATTGTGTTGATACATAAGGGGTATAAGCAACCATTAGTATGATATGTGCCCTGCGGGCTTAACGAACGAGGAGGTAATGGGTGGTGAGGTATACCTTCTGCTAGTCTAACACGGCTGGAATATGTTGGACAGATTCCGTGAGGGCACGTTACGTGACTTGTTATCAGCTAATGTATGGTAGTTTCTGTGAATTTTAACCTATTCTACCTTGATGATTGGTTAATCAACATGATACTGGTAGATATGGTCATTGTTCGTGTTAATGTTAATCAGATCAACATTAATAAATACATGTCAATGTTAACCATGTTAACCCTTTGATTATCTATTAATGTTGGTTATTAATGTACCATTTAACATTGAGGTAGAATAATCATTTTTTGTTAACCATTGGTTATTCTACCCTTTGCAAATGGGGATCTTCAATGGCCCTATGACCTGCACGGAAAGTCATTGCCGGGCCGGGCCCAGAAGCCCAGAATGCCAGGTAGGGTGGAGCCAACCTCGAGCAAGGCAGGGTGAAGAAACCATGGCCAAAACTACTTACTATATGAGGTCAGCACCCTAGTATGATCAAGTCATATATACTTATATACTCTGTGTATATATTTATAACATATATGTATATATGTTATATATATGTATATATATATATATATATGTATATGTGTGTGTAAAAATATGTCCGTAATCCTACCAGAAGGGCCCAACGTGACCTGAGATGCTTTATTGTGGCTTACATTTCCTCCAAATTTTGGCTGACATGACTTGGATGGCAATGGCAAATCATGGAAACTCCAAGTATCCCGTCTTTTTTTTTCAAAAATGAGGCTTTAGCCATGGCCACGTTGGATTTTCGTGATGGGTCACTGGAACAAGCGAAGGCCGGCGTCAGCAGTTTCTCTCCCGAAGTTCCTGGCGGCAAGACTTCGTGCGGAGACTCAGGGACTCAGGGATCATGAGATCGCCGCTAAGCTGGGCCAGCTGGATTTCTGTGATTTGGTCGGGTTTTGATCTGTTCATTTTAAACAAATTTCAAAAGGCAAACATAATGATCAAACAGTGACCGACCAGATGTCACCAGCCACTGCGAAGTTTGTGGTTAAACTGTGGGATTGAAGACCTCCTTAGAAATTTTGAGTGACTGAAATGCTGGGTGCGGAGGATCGTTTCGCCATGTTTCGTCATGGCCCATAGGGTCTGTTGGGTATTCTTGGGCATGCTGGGCATATTGGGCTTGTCGGGCTTGCCGGGCTTGTTGCAGTTCACATCCTTAATCTGCAAAAAAACATATTGATCATGTGGCAGGACCAGCAGTGCCCTTGTTGGCAACAGTTTGAAACGTGGAAGAAAACATCACACACAATTGCTAAGTTGATATATTTCTGGGAAAGTCCCATCCATAAATGAGCCATGCTTATCCCAACTGAACAATTCCTTATATAAGTAATAGCAACACGATTCACCTTTAAGTGGGATGAACACACTCTTTAAGGAGGGGAGGTCTAGGACCTCAGGGGCGGAATGCCAAGAAGGATGCCTCTGCAAATGGGGTATACAATCCAGTTATGACCATTTGGGATATTTGGGGGCGCCCTATGTTCAGAGAATCCCAATAACTTCTAGTATCTTGGGATGGCTTGTAGCCTGCCCAGGTGGAAGGAAGCCTTTGAGGTTGGGCAACTTGGATTACCGGGGCCACATGGAGCCATGGACCAACATTTTCCGGGGGTGATTCATACCCTGTCGACAAATCCTGAGCCTATAAACAGAGAATGTCGAAGTGAACCTCAATATGGACCTGACAAGGGTGGCGAATCGGGGACCTACATCTACGGATCTACGGAAATTACTGTATATTATATATATATATGTATATATACTGTATATATATATATATTAATACAGTATATAATGGCATATAGAGAGGGAGAGAGTATAGGGATATTTATCCTCATACCTTCATACCTTCATATCTTCAAGTGATACCCCCAAAAATATCGGGCACTGTTCCAGCACTGGGATCCTTGAGATGAAAGATGTGACTCCCGGCGGGGAAATGAGCTTCAAGTGCGGATGGATTTTCGGATCTTTCTCGGATAAGAAAGTGGGATCACTGGGAAAATCTGGGAAATGTAGAGATACAAAGCAGCAATGGACTAACAGAGGAAAATCTTTTCAGACGATATCCTGCCGCGGTGCCATGGAGAGCAAGGCCGTGAGCGAGCAAGTGGCTGACAGTTCCATGAAACTGGAGGTCTCCTTGCCAAGTGGGTGCTGTGAAACTATTCAAGTCTCGCAGTGTGGCACCATTGCAGACTTGGCACTAGCTGCTTTCCTGAAGCTTGCTGCGCCTGACGGACGCCTTTTAGATCCCACGATCTCTTTGCGATTTTCTGGGCTTCAAGGTGGAGATAGCCTTTCTGCTGTTGCACAGCAGCCAAAGATAGTTGCAACATGGAATGTATTTGCTCTAATTATGGTGTGCTGGAGGCAGCAGAATTGTCACATGGGGCAAGCCCATGTTTGTCGGCAACAGCAAAGCCATCGGACATTTGTTCAGAACCAAACGCATTCAGCAGGCTTGTGGCACATCCGATGCTTTTGCAGCAATTTTATGCAATTTTAGCAGACGGAAGCGTGGTGACCTTGGGAAGTCCAGACCATGGTGGTGACAGCTCCCAAGTCCAAGACCAGCTCAAGAATGTTCAGAAGATTTCTGGGACCTCCGCTGCCTTTGCTGCGATCTTGGGAGATGGAAGCGTGGTGACCTGGGGCCAACCAGCCCGTGGCGGTGACAGCTCCAGAGTTCAAGATCTTTTCAGGTACAGCTAGGGGCTTGTCAGGCTGGAAACAAAAGAGATCAAAAGAGTGTGCCCCAGCCGATTTGCATCCAGCATACCCAGCTCTCACCTCCCCATTGCATAAAGACATCATGGGCCGCAACAATCCCTGGTGTGTACCATTTTGGAGGGTGAAAGTGACATGCCCACAATTTGATCTGGTTACGTGTATATAAGTAAATAAATAAATACAGAGAGAGAGAGAGAGCGAGATAGATAAGATAAGATAAAATAAGATAAGATAAGACAGATAGATAGATAGATAGATATGATAACAGTATATATTCCCTTATTTTTGTCGCGAAGCAGAAGATCACAGGTCCCCGCATCTCGAGCGAGCGGCCCCCTACCCACCAACACCACCTGGGTGACGATAGAAGCCAGGCTGCCAAGGACTTTGCTGATTCGCTGGAGAAGGAGGTCGAGAAGGTGAAACCCGTAAGATGTCCAGCTGGCGATAGTTTATCCGACCCATTTCTGGAGAATTTAGGGGGTTCTACCTTTTTGAGGCAACGTGAGGGATACGATTGTCAAGGATCAATAGGCAAACCTGTGGCTACAGTGCTTTTGGGAAGACCACCCGATTCCACTAAGATTAAGTACTCCAGCTGAAAACCTTGGCTTAGTATTGGATCTATTCATTTTTTGGACCTTTGGTGGAAGGGATTGCCACAAAAACCGCAGGCACTCATGTCCATGGATGCTGCACAGTGGGAGAGGGGATGTGAGGCATGTTTCTGGGAGTTTTTTGGGTTGAGTCTGAATTGGCCGCATGGCATGGACGTTTTAACACTTTGAAACACAATACAGAATGTATTTTGTCTGCAGCTTTTGCAACATATACATGCCAAAGGCACACATGCGGCATAGAGATTGGCGCAAGATGAAATTCCGGCCGGCCACTAGGGGTCAGGATTGAGTCATGGGGCACCGGGGCACCCACCACCACTTGAAATCCCATCAAGCAAGGCAGCGTTGAATGTCATAGACGAGATCTGTCAACTTCTGTGCTGTTCACTCTCAAGTCTCTCAAGTCAACTTTTCAAAAGGTGTGGCAATGATTTCTCGCCTTTTGAGGGGATTCTTCCCAAGTCATAAGCCAAGATAAAGTTTGAATCCATGAGGCTCCTACGACTTGGCAAAAATTCCCAGTCGAGTCAGTCGACTTGGAGGGTCTGTCCATGGGGAGCCCATCCAGCCATGGCGTCGTTCCCGCGTCTCAGCGGCTAGCTGTGGCTGCCGTCCTTCGTCCGTAATGGCCGAGCTGCCGCTGAAGGATTTGCGCCTTGGACGATGGGGTGATGGGACCCTTCAGCAATGTTACCCTCTGGCAATTTAACAGTTAGCCAGAAAATGACCCATTTATAGGTGATTTACCTATTAAAGATGGTGATTTTCCAGTTCGCTATGTTAGTTCACCAGAGGGTAACATATGGCAAAACTGGATGAAAAACATGGTGATTTAAGATGACCCAGGACCCATGAGCATCTATATATGAACAATGCCGGTTTTCGCGAAGCGATTACCACCCAGGCTTTCGGCTTGCGGAGGCTGGGGGCACCGACCTTGGCCCTGTATTTTTTTGGGGAGAGTGATCTATGGGTAGATCAATGTGGATTGATGTGGTAAACCCAATGCGGTAAACCCCAAAATCCACAATGCTTACGAGCGGTAGGAACTCCCCAAATAATAAGTTTATTCTTGGGTTTCCCACATTAGATGTATAGTTTTTCCTCTGTAATCAACTCCAATTTTTAAACTTAAATTTCGTAAGTGGTGGCAAGATCATCGCAAGTCGGCATCATTCAAGTTTCGATCCCGGGCTGATGCTGCCCTTCATCAAATGTATCTTCTCAAGAGAAGTGGTTTCTGAACATCCAGAAGCGCCACAAGATCTCAATGACTCTCCTGAAAAGAGGTGATATTATCCTCCTTTTTCCTATAATCCCCCTTTTTTCCCAGCCAAATATCGACTGTTTCGTTTCATTGATTCGAACATTTCAACAGCTTCGTATATGGACCGCAGGTTGGCTGTTGCTGATATGACATTTAGTCACTGATTGGAGCTGCTTTGGCAGACATCCGGACCCCCTGCATTTCAACTCAACAGCGCTGACGTAGACATGCCGCGTCTACTACATTCAGAGCAGCCTCGAACAATGCGTTCCAAGATGTTCCAAGAAGTTTGGCCTGTTTGAGCCGTCCAAAGTTGAATTCGCAATATGCCTATACCATCCTATACCTTCATGATCCTTGCTGTGTTCCCTGGGGAACATTTGCCTCTTTTTTTGTTTAACAACAGCATCCATCCTTAGATTCAATGACATGTGGCATATCTAATCAAAAATTAGATAGTTAATCCTCAACAACAGCATCTAATGATCATATCTTTAGACGTTTGAATCCCAAGCTGTTGAGGATGAGCCATCTCCACGGTTTCGATGCGCAAAAAGCCTCATGATGGTTCTTTCCAGGCCAACTTCCAGGTGACTCACCACAAGGTGTATGTATGTTTTTGTCCCATTGAAACTGACTTTGACAAAGCGCGGACACTATATACCCTTATTGTATGTTTTTGTCCCTTCCCCATCACCACCAGCATCACCATCACCATCACCATCATGGGTATCCTTATCATCATTCATCGTCATCATTTTTGATAGTTGGCGGCGGCCCAGGACCGCATTTGAAACATGGATCCCAGGCCCGTTTTGCCACAAAAGTCGCGACTTTTAATCGTCAGCCAATCACAATCATAGGGAAATTGCCAGAAGTACTGCTATTGTGATTCAAGCACTTGATCTTGGGAATTGGGAATCGTAATCAAATGTATGAATGGCTACATGGTGAATACTGATGGGTGGTTTCAATGTTTTCCAGCCCTAGCCTATATATTTGGTACCTGGGAGGATGATCTCAACTTGACATCCACTGCGGCTTTCCCAAGGCTCAAGAGCTGTAAGGACTCCACAAGTTGAGAAAAACATCATCCCCCTGTTTGATTGTGGATGGGTGGCTGGGCTACCGGAGGTCATGATTGTTGAGGGTAGCCGGGTAGCACTTGATTTGTGCAATACAACGCGCAGATATGCGTGCACTGTTTATCTATTGTTTCTATTATCTTAATATGATATACACACATATATACTATATATATATATATACGTGCCCCCTGAACCTAAGGTAATAAATCAATGAGGTCGTATAACTCTCTTATGACACCCTGGAACCATCCAGCAGGAAGGAGTTCAATATTAGATGGCCACCCAGGGATCATTATATGCAAGGAAACTGTTAAGGGAATTACTCCATGAACCTGTCTTTTAATATGCGTGCTTGACTTGGATGGTCATCCAAATAGAGAGCTCCTCATGTGCAAGCAGCCCATCTATGGAAGCTACATCTGATAATTTTCGATTTGACCAGCAGCTCAACATAGCATCAGCGCATGTGCTTTGTTTTCCCAAACCCCGCCGATCTCAGCCCTGTACATAATCTGTGAGCTGTTGTGTCTCGCTGCCATGTCAGTCCCTTCCATGGGCGCAGAAACTTGGCATCTAACTGGCCTAACTAGCTGGCGCTTTGATATATGTATTTATCTACAAAATTACCTGCCAAAAGAGGGCCCCAACAGGAATAGATCCAATGTGATACAAAGCAGCGTTTCTGAAAGTGGCATGTAATTGCATTGTGAGAAGCAAGGAGAAGCAGAAGGGATCATATACTTCTCCTTTTCTGCTTTTTTGTGGGGGTATCATCCAGAGTGACTGCCTGTGACTCCCTAACATATCCCAAGGAGGCTAAACAAACCTGACCACACGACAACAGAAAAACAAATAGTTTTGATTTGATGTTTTGCCTGTTGCACTTGGGGATTTACTATGCTGTTCGAATGAATGAGTGCACATAAATGAATTCAAACATAGAACCTGGAACATCGGGAGTTCAAAAACATGTGCGCTTCCCCAAAGTAGTGTTCCAAACTACGTAGTATTTGGCAGGGTCTATGCTAATGTGGGGAGAAAATCATTGAAGAAGTGTCCACTTTCTGGTCTTCCATTCTTAGAATGTATCCCTCGGTCAGGTTTCGCTCCAACCAATTGCATTTGGATTGCCCAATACGTTTGAATTGCCTGTTGTATGTCACCTCCCGCCGAGTCGCTGTAAATAATAGTTGATAAGGGAGATATTATCCCCAAATTGCTTGACTTGATTTTTACAAATATATAGATATGTGTATAATGATATATGTATAGATTTACTGTATGTTTAGTTCATATAAATATATTTCATAATTAGCCATATAGATTACAGATGGAGACTTCTCCTACTCATTGAGGGTCACGTCTCTTGGATAACCAGCCCTAAAAACCAGGGCAGGATTACGTCGCGCGGAAGGGTTTTTATGTGTAATCATTCCGTCCTCGACCCTCCAAATCCTAGGAAAGTATCGGTAGTTTCGCAGTTTGACCTATACTGTTTTTACCCAAAACACCTAGATACTACTTTGGTCTTCGATTAAATTCTAGGACTTTGATTGCATGGTTTTGGGTTTGGTGAGACAACGGCCAAAAAATGTTTGCAGCGCTTCAAACGCTTAAGGGAAAAAATGCAATACCCCGCAAAAAAAACGCAGCAAACCCGCAAAAACCTGAGAAAAAAACGCAAAAACCCGCAAATCCTGAAATCTTGTTGTTTTAGGTAGTTTTCGGTTTTTTAGAGTTCCAAAATTCCTCACGTTTTTGTCTAGGTGGGCGTAGTGCTGAGATTGTCCAAGAAATATTCATGTTTGGAACAAAGTGAATCATTTCTTGGGTTGTTTGACCTATCTAATTCGAACGGCCATTTTTTCCTCGGCTGTGGAGGGTCGAGGATGTTTATACGAATTGTAGTGTTTATACTCATTATGATCATTTTGTATTGCATGTTCAAAATGTTTTTTTTGTGCACATGTATAAAGAAGGCCTATGCTGGATAGGTTCTGGATGCACAAGATATTTTCTGTACACAATTGGATTAGTGATTAGTGTGTTTGTTTTGCGGAATGGAACTCCAGGTGTTGCAGTTGAGATGAAAATCGGCAACCACATTTGCTGTCAGGGTCATTTTCAGGGCTCGTCCCCTCCCATCACGCAGCTCCAAGGAGTCACTTTACTCCTCTAGAACTCCACCACCAGACATCACAGAAGGACCAGCGGGACATCACATGGACAAAAGTTGGATAATGTCAAATCCCACATAGGGATGATTGGGTCTGGTGAATGATTGAGGTCAATCTTGGGATGGTAAACTAGTCATAGTTTAGTGCTTTCTGAGTGACTCAGTGGGTACAGCCTGTGCAGCTACCCCCCTGCGATTTGACCATATGGCAGGTGCTCCCAACGTCAGGAGCACAGCGGCAGTATGATGCTGCCTTGATGAAGAGAACCGATAGCATGCTCACAGCAGTGGAACGTGCAAAGACCGAGCACCGGGACGCTTCCGAAGCATGGGCAGGATGGGTATTTGAATGATCCCTAGGCTTCCAGTTACCTCTGGGAGAGGCTACCAGACTGGTTACCTACGAGAAAGGTTACCAGGATCCAGATAATGCATCCAGTTTTTTTCCCGAAGCCGTCATCGGTTTGTTCCGTTTGGGTGTTGCAAGCGTCGGAGGTTTGGGATTTTTGGGAACATACATGAACATCCCCGTCCTTAAGAATTGCCGACCGCCCTATGCGGATGTTTGGCTTTGCATGTCCTGTCAGCATCGGGTTTGATTTGGGCAAAGGACGCCTGATGGCGAACAGAGAATTTTCCCCATAGAAGTGCAGGCTTCAAATTACTTAACGATACCCTCTGGTAATCTAGCATAATCTAGCATCGCTATTGAAAATGACCCATCTATAGTTGATTTACATTGATTTACCTATTAAAGATTGTGATTTTCCATAGTCATGTTAATTTACCAGAGGTCCTTTTCTCGACCCATCTTCGGCTTTCTGCACTCAGGATCGACGAGTCGAAAGCTTCCTCAAGGAGAATGGTTTTCCCGGTGTCAACCAGCAGCAGCAGCGCAGTCTTGCTCTCTGGCCGCCCTACTGGCTGCGTGGGCAGGAACGGATATATCCCATTCATCTGGCGGCACGGACAGGGAACCACGAGCTGGTGTGTCTTGGCACATTTTTCTTCGCCTGGAAATGCGTTTTTGATGGTGTATCCATGATTCGATAGGGTTAAGGATGTGTTTTGCCTTGACATTGTTTAAAGAACATGTGTTTGTCTCTGGGATTTTTGGTTTGTGTTCTTCATGTCTTTGGTGGTGTATTGGGTTGCGTGTTTACAGCACAGGTTTAGCAACCTACTGGTGGATTGCATTTTGTTGTGAACTTATCCGCTTTCTGGGGCAGGTGTTCTTTGTCCCTGCATCGTTGCTGCAGCCAGATTTCTACATTATGTCGGAAGGTAAAATGCTAAGCATAGCTGTGTCAAAGCCAATTCTTGATTGCTACTCGTATTTCCAAACCCAGCGAGGCTAGGAAAGTTGCAAGGTGGTGCCCTATAAACCGAGCCAACTAGCTCGATGTACCCCGCATAAAGCCTAGTTGGCCTAGGCAGATAAACCAAGTGTTTTATGCGGTTTGTTTCGCTATGGGGCACCGCACTGTGGTTTCCTCCACCCTTGCCTTCTAGCATCCAATAGGGATAGCATGGGATAACCCATCCCTTAATTAAAAAAAAACAGAATTTCATGGTTTGGTGGGGTGTTTAATATTAGATAATTTAGATATAATTAAAAAGAGAAAGGGATCATACCCTCATGAAATCCCATTAAATCCATGTATATATATACACATTCCATAAAATAATATCAAAGCCATATCTATACAGCATGTATCAAGCATGTTATGGGGAGCTGCCTTGGCTTCATCCAACCGGGCCATACCGGGCCCAGGGGCCCAGGCTATTACTCCTTGCTGCTGGCGCAGACCCCACCATCACCAGCTCTCAGGGACGAAGTGCTATGGACTTCGCCCAGGAGATGTCCGTTTTAGGCCAAAAAGATGATGATTTAACAGCAATTGTAACCATTTTTGTCAGGGAAAATGGTGATACAATATGATTAATGGGTTTAGGGGTACACTATTTTCAGACAAAGCCATGCGTTGAAAGGAACAGAAGTGAGGCTTTTGATATGATAAACTGGTGTTGAAAGCAGAATGACAACAACAACGGCAACAACGGCAGCAAGGGCAAGAGCAAGAAAAACAAGAAGAACAATAAGAACAAGAAGAGCAAGAGAAAAACAAGAGCAAGAACAGGAACCCATAACAAGGACAACAACAACAACAACACGGTTTAAACTAACATTGCAACCAACAAAAATTGGGATTTAACTACTTGGTTTAACCGACAAACATTGGAGTTTAATCCCAACAAAACTTGTTGTTTACCATCCCTCAAACAAAAAGTGGCACCCTGAACATCGCCAATCCCCGATTGGACAGTGGCCTTCCAACCCCCATGAGCTGGTTATTCAACGAAGAAATGGTGGGGTACACGTTGGTTCCATTTCATGGGAACAGCGATTTCACCGTGAAGGACCAAAGATGGGAATAGAAACGACAACATGGGGACGTGATTTCATCCAAATTGTCACACAATTGGTTTGCATTGGGATCCGCTTGGCCAGCCACAATGTTCAGAAACTGTATTCTATCACAA